TCGAAATAGTTTATTAATATTTATTATTAGTTTTATTTTACAATTATTTAATTATTTACTAATTTTATTTACAAATCAACATTATTATAAAACGAATGAACAATTAGATGTTTTTCTAAATTATCTGTATTAAATGATTGTCTCCTATCAGTAAGTATGTACTTGTACAAAGAAAAACTCCTTTCGACATCTACAGAAGTAATAGGTGCAAACTTAAATTTTCCTGAAATATCTGGATGAATAGTATTAATATCTTCAAAGTTACCAGAATAAATATAAGCAAGGTTTATTAAAACAATAAATCCTTCATTTTTTAAAATTACATTTGAAAATTTATGAAAATTCGTCTTTCCAACATCGCCCTGGACGTTTTTACACTCTGATTCAAACGCCTTAATTAAATTTACGGAAGTCATCAAAGGTAAATTTTTTTGTTCTAAATCTAATATAATTTTGGGTACAAATGCATAATTTTTTAAAAACACTAATTGCTTTGGTAATATGTGATTTTGAAACAACTTCTTTGTATTAGATATTCCCTTAGATGAATCATCAAAATCAAATATGATTTCTTTAATTTTTTCATAATTATCTGCGTAAAAAAAGGTAACTTTTAGCCAGGTACCCCACCGAGTAATCACAGATTCCGGTGGCATCTGTAATTCAGGAAATTTTTCTTTATACAATTGAGTTCTTAGAGGAGCTTTAAGAAATATTTTTTTTACATTACTAATTAAATCATTTATTAAAGGAAAGTTACACCTAATTTCTTCTGCAACTTTGTTAAGGCCATGAGCCAAACATGTAACATGGATTAAGTTTTCATAAAACATTTTTAAATTTTGTGCGGCTTTTACCATGTACGGGGCAGCATCGGATAACAGCAATAAACATTTTTCTGTTGGAACGGCTTCCGCAAGAAAAAAGGAAGACAATTCTGTCTGGATAAAACAAGTTATTGTCAAGTTAATTGTTTTATCTAATTGCTTTGAAGCGATTAGATATGGACCAATTTGCATTTCTTCGCGTAATGAACCTATCATTAAATCGACCACAAGAGTCTGTTGTTTCATCCACAACAATGTAGAAATGGTTTCCAACGGTAATTTTTTCACGAATTGTTTCACGAATCTCAATGTACAAACTGTCAACACCACGTTTGCGTAATATACTTTGCTCTGGAATATTAAATTTACAGTATTTTTGCAAAAATGATCGGAGATTTGGATTATTTAATCGTATTAAAGGTATATTCGAAGTCACTAAAGCTTTGCATAAATCTTTATTAAAAATAGCTTGTTCACTTCTAGACGATCCAGATTCTAAATATTGTTTCAAGGGAAGTTGACTTTGTCTGCGAGTGTCTTTAGATTTCTGCTTTGCTATATGTGAGGGTGTTATCGCGTGTTGGTCGATTTGAAACTTTTTTTACATGGAATCTAAAACAAATAAATTTCTGTAGATGTTGAAGTTTTAATTAAATTAAATAAATTCGTACTTTATAAAGTTGCCCTCCTTTTTTTTAACTGTGAGTTGAAATAATATTTTACTGTCGTTTGATTTACCATTGTGAAAGGTCAAAATAAAATATAAAATAAAAAAGTACTTACAATTTTAGAACATGTTTTACAAAACACCTGGTTATCACCTTCTACAACAAAATCTGAATAAGATTTTACCCACGACTCAATTAATTTTGCCCTTTTTCTGACTGGTTAACACAACACAACAACAAAGACTGAAATGAAGTTGAAAGTAAACTGAGTCATTTAGAAATTTGAAGATATTAATTCAACTACCTGAAAGAATATTTAGCAAAATTTGTTGGTTTAAAATCCGCAATCATGTACAACTTGGCAACCATGAGAATTAGGGTTTTTGTTTACATATAGCCATCACAATTGTTATGATGACAACAGTTTTTGCATAACAGATTTCGGCTAAACGAAAGTTGAGCCGATCTTATTCCCCATTTTGTAGTGTAAAATAATTATTATATCTCATGCCCCTTACTTCTTAAATCAGTTCTTATTTTTTTAGCGTTACCATTACATTTACAGTCACATTGTTTAGAAGAGAAAAAACTATGTACAATTTGCAACTTGTAATATGTACCAATGACCAAGTTCGGTTCTGTTTATTTTCAAATAAACAAATTTGACAGTCGATAGACACTCTAAAAATTAAATAACTTACCGAAATAAGTGTAAGTTTCCTTTATCGGCGTTACAATTGGCTTTTTTATTATATACACATCTTTTCAAAATTTAAGTCACTAAAATATCAAATTAATTCTCGTTAACGCAATAGATTTAAATTAAATTTGGACGAACAACACTCTAACATGTGACATCCTTAACTGTGATTGATCGTTGTGAATAATTTTGAAGTGGTATTGTGCGAAGTGTCATATTTATGTTTTATCTACATTTTATATAATCTAAGGTTATTTCAAAGAACTACGTTTTTAGTATATTGTAAAACTTTTCCTATTTTAACTAATCTTAATTGACAATATTTTAATTTAAAAAAGATAACGAATATTTGTTAAAATAAGTACTGTGTTTATAATTTAATCCTCTCAAGTACCTACACCATTAACCGTAATTTATTACAGGGAAAAGTTAATCCTTCAACATTTTAGGAAATCGACCTGTAAAGGCATTTCACAAAATATTATTTTGGTCCAAAACTCATAATTTTAATATGCCCAGCCAATTAGTACGTCAGATATAGGCCAAAAAATTAAAAAAATGTCAATATATGCATTCAAAATCAAAAATTGTATATATATGCAACATATGCAAAATATGGCGTTTTACATATGGGCGATTCTTGCATAACTGTGATTTTTTATGTCCAGTATTTTATTTATTGTTTAGCATAAGTTTTCCTCATCAAAAAGTTATTAAAATTGTAAATTTAGAGGTATTTTACAACTAACATTATGAATTAGATCATAAACCTTCGCAATTTTTTTTTAAGCTGCATCTAAATATACTCGAAATGTCAGTACCGTGGCATGTTCGATTCTTATTTTTAAAATTAAATATATAAATTTCTATCAGAATTAATTTTTTAATATAAAATATACCTCTTATAACTACAATCTAATGCATATTGCATTGAATTTTATTGCAATCTTATACCAATCTTTCGATTAGTAACAAAAAAAATATTCATTTATATGTCAGTACCGTGGAAATAATGTCAGTACCGTGGCATTAAACTTTTGAAATTTTGTCACAGTTTTCGTTGTGTTGTAGCTGTAGTAAAATCAGTTCACAGGCTTAGTTTTGTGAATAAATAGAAAATAAAAACGCGCAGAACAAACGTTTTAAAACATTTTAAATGTTAGAAAAATTTAAATTGTAAAAATCGCAGTTACAGAATCACCCATATATTCCTAGCTCTAGTTATCAAGAATGTAACTTATTAGTAAAGACCCAGAACATGTCTGTATAAGAACAAAGTACCAGCTACAAAAAATTGCCATTTGTGCAGTGTTAAATCCCTCTAACAGTAAAAAATTACTTTAATTTATAAAAGATACTGACATTTACTCTGTACTAGCGAAAATGATAATTATCCATTGTATACTATAAGGTATTATACCGCCGGTAATGATCCTTTGAGGTTGAAGCAGTAATTAAAAAAAGAATTTAACCTACTTTATGAATTTATTTAATGTTATTTCTATAAAAACATGAAACCTAAATCTGTTTACATGAATGTAAAACTATAGAAAATATCTTTCAAATGAGGTGTCACATGACCCTACTTTCCATTAGAAAATTTAAAGCTAATGACTCTCTCTATCTTACGTGTCTCAAGTAAAGTGCATCTCGTTATAACAAAAATATAATATCTCTCGAGTTTTACCTCGTTTTTGGTTTGTCATTATCTTTTTTCATTTATAAGTTAAAATAGAGGAGGGTACAATTTTGGTCCTCACATTCGTTTGTATTACCTTTTCTTTGACAGTTTTTCGAAAAAACGCTTATACATTTTCAACTTATCTTCAAAAGTAACCTCAGAAATGCAGAATGGATTAAATATAAGAAATGATTGTATAAATTTTAAATAAATGAAATGAGAAATATTTTTTCTTATAAATCACTATTTATAAAATCCTAATAACACAAGTATCATTTGTTACCATTTAATATACATATACAGTGTGGAAACCACTTATGGAATAAAATTCTTTATGTCATTACTTTAGAAAATTGTAAAAAATGCCGAGACACGTCAACTTTTGAATTGAGTTGTGCGTTATGTAAACATAAATTTAAATGTACAGGGTGATTCACGCAAGTATGCCATAGTCGATGTTGTTTTTTTTTTAATGAAACACCCTGTATATTTGCATATTTTTGAAATCCTCTTAATGAATTGATTCAAACAAACTGAATAATGTATGTATGCAAATATACAGGGTGTTTCATTAAAAAAAAACAACACCGACTATGGCATACTTGCGTGAATCACCCTGTACATTTAAATTTATGTTTAAATAACGCACAACTCAATTCAAAAGTTGACATGTCTCGGCATTTTTTATAATTTTCTAAAATAATGACATAAATAATTTTATTCCATAAGTGGTTTCCACACTGTATATAGAATAGCTGTGTTATAGTTAACTTTTTGACTATCTCGAAATCAATTGTGTTTAAATTTTAAGTTACGATAAGCAATTGAAAATTTCAAATAAGCAAAGAAAAAATTGTTCGAGAGTGCCCAAGAGAGCTCGAGAGAAACGAGAAATTCTCGTCGAGAGATGACAAGACGAGACGAGAGACGAGAATATCTCGTCTTGCGATATCACTAGTGCTTTATGATAAATTCATTGATAATAATTAGATCAAGTTTTTCTTGCCCTATATTTTGAAAGTTCATTTCTAATATGATGATGAGATACATATGAGGAGTAAATAACAATAGGCAACTAATAATTAATCAAGTTAAGTAATATCTAGTTAAATAACTATACATACCGTGTAGAAATCTATTCTGATATCATCCTCAAGAGACGAACCATCTTCGGTCATTCCAGTTTCTGTCAATATAACTTCATGGTTTCCATATAGGTCTCTTATCCAGTTTAAAACTCTTCTGACCCCATATGGAACAATCTAAAATTAATAATATTATAGTTAGTTAATATGATAATAAAGTGTATAAAAAACAACTATTGGATAGTGGTAGACAAAGATTGATAAGGGTAATTACCTTTTTGATACAATTCAATTTTTTCTTTTAATAATAATAATAATAATAGGAAAGATACAAGTCATGTCCGTAATTAGTACGCGTATCTCTAAATCAAATCTAACTTGACACTTAAAAAGAAGAAGAATTGCACGCTCTATATACGTGAATTTTTCCAAGGCCTACTTTATAAACGTTTTTTTTTTTTTGTGAATCATTTCTTATATAGTGATCTACTACTAAAATATGAATAAACACAATAAAAAGGAACATTTAAAAGACGAATTCATTGTTTTTAATTGAAACTTACTGTGAATACGCCATTATTTTCTACCATCCAAGAAGGTCTAAACGAGTTAACAACTCCCATATCATTTTTGTAACTTGTCTCATTGATGGGTGCTTCAAACGTATTTGAAGCTAGAGTTGTAAAATAATGATTTAATCCTATATAGTCAGCAGTGCCATTTATGAACTCAATTTCTTCTGGAGTAAACGATGGAAGACGAGATTTTGTCAAGTTTGCTTGCATACTTCTAAAGTTAATCCTGGCTTTTGGTACTTCTGGCCAATCTCCTATGTAAATAGGATTGAATAACAAGCCACACTAAAAAAACAAAGATGCTTCAAATAAAAATAAATTTATATAAATAGAATTTTACATTGAATAAATAGATAACTTAGTAATACTAAAACATACATCAAATTGCCTTTGTCTTTCAGCAGCTGCTAGATCTACAACTGCATGGGTTATGGGTTCAATCCATGCACAGTCTATAGTGGGAGCCATTTTTGCTAAAATAATTTTAAATAAAATTACGTTAGGAATATGACCTCACTTAATGCTAATAGGTATTAAATAAATATAATACTTAATTGAAAGTGTTGCAGTTGTTTTATGATATACAGCGTGATCCAAAATTTCGTATATATAGAGCTACTATATTATGTTGGTGAGAACAAAATAAGTCGATTGAACTATTCGATCAGGTATTAGGATAGATACGCCTTATCTGTGGAAGTAGTGGGTTTAATGATTATCTAGACGGGGAGAGAGGAAAGGTACACAAACGGAAAACTTGGCAGTGTCGTACCGTATAAAAGGGGTTATATATTGTTAATTACTATAAAATGCTAGATGAAAGCGGATGGACATGATTTTAAAAATATTGTTTTATAGCGTATATTTTTAACTTTCAATGTAAGAATAGTATTTCACAGTATTGTGATACTACATAGACCATGCATAGGTTTGTCATTTTGTATATTATTAACTCAATTTTATAGAATTATTAATTTAGATAGATTTATATAATTTCTGTTAATAATATTTTTATCCAAAGGAAACCGAATTTAACCAATGATTTTTTTTGTGGGTACAATCAAAGATTTAAAAGAAATGGTATATTGGGACCAGACCGAATATAAATTTTTCAGTGTTTTGAAAGCAGTGGATAAATGTTTTAAAATATTTTTCGTATTTAACCTAAAATATCCAGAAGCCAGCACCGTGGTCTGGCAATTTAGTCAAACATATTTAGATCACATTACCACCAAAGAAGATAAAGTTTTCCCGGATAATAAAGTGTTCGAAAATGAACTTCTTAAACAATAATTATTATAGAGTTCATTCGACGTATTCTAAGTTATTATGGAATTTTTGTTTGTTTTTTATACAGTTTATTAAATAAATAAAACTTTTTTTAATACTAACAGTGTTGTTTTTCTTTCTACACGGAAAAAAAATTGTAGAACAAATTTCTACAATTATACATATATATTATATTAAACCTGTTTTGCTGATTAAAAAAAATATATTATAGTTTGAAATTATTGCCAATATTAGGCCAATTGCATGTCTATCTCAAGCCAATATTGATTCTAATCGTTGATCACTTTAACCAAATGGCAATCCGGCTTCAGTTTACAACAGTTCTGTTACAATACACTCAAAAACCATAATATTACGGTACGGTACAAAAAAAACACCATGCACTGTACGCATAAAGTTCATACAGCGCATAATTTGTACTGTAATATTTTGGTATATACCTACTTAATATTGTGGTTTTCGAGTGTGTAGTGTGTCAGTGTTGCCAGTCTAGTACAATCTTAAGAAATCTGGTATTTAGTGCGCTCGAGCCAAAGCTAGTAGGTACTTTTATTATTATTATTAGCTACACATTTTTTTTATTTTTTTTGCTCTTCTATGAATATTATCAAACTCACTGGTAAAACACATAACAGAAAAATATTCTGGCAACACTGAATAATTGTTTAAAGAAATAATATTTTCTATTACCAATATAAAAGTTATATAACAAATGATGTAGTCGTTTTCCTATTCATGGAAATATGTAACACGCCATGATGTAAAATGCCGGATTACCGTTAAAGCTTTATATTTCCACACATTCTCTTATAAATTTAAGGGTATTTAATTTTTTGTTTTTTTATTTAAAGAGTTTTCTGAATTATTGAGAAGTGCCTCTTCATCTGGATTTTGGATTAAAAGAAAAATTGTAAGTAGAAATCAATGTTTTTTGTTTATTAACAAACAACCGAATTAATCGACTGCATTTCGAAATATTTGCCAATATTAGGCCAATGTCATGATTGTCTTGGACCAATATTGATTCGAACCGTGAACCTTGATAAATGTATAAAGATTAAAGTAGGTATTACCAGAAAATGCATACCTAGGTACCCTATGGTAATATTTAGGACAGTGATGCCACTTTCGCATTTTTCCATGAATCTCTTGATTTCCATAATCATCTAGGATTCTTAACAAAAATATTTTCCATTTTTTATGAAATTACTATAGGTATTTTTTAATTTTAATTTTAACTTACATATTTTATATTTTCCTCAATGCCTATTATTATTTTATCTAATATTCAGTGCAAACCGCGTTGGCACGACACTGGACGACCGGGCGTAAAGCGACGTTCCGAGAATTCCGAAATTAATTGGAACATGGGCACAGGGCACAGTAAATGTGTGCCTCTGTTGTTTTCTCTCTCATTATGATGCGAAAAACAAGGACAACGACAATATCGCTTAGCAAGAGATGAACACATGCGATGGATTATACGTCACAAGCGGGGCGCTGTCCTTCCTCATCGTGACGTGCTGTACCCATAGCACATATTACCTAGACCCAAATACTTTGCCTAGACCAAATACGAATGTACGCAGAGGCATCTTTACCGGATAAAGGTGCGCGTTTGTTGGACCATATAATTTATTTATTGTGATTTTGAAAAAACGTTAGTTGGACCATTGGAATAGTTAAGAAATAAAACTATAAAGTAAAATAACTTTTTTTTTATAAATCAGTCAAAAATATGATTAAAAAAAATCAATATTAATTATAAATGGGACAAAATTTTAATTTTTCTTTTGGTTTTGTCTGACTTTTTCGAGGATTTCAAATCTCTGTTTGCATATTTAAGAGTATAAAAAATTCTGCGTCTTATAAATAATTTAATGGTGTACATTTTCGCAAATTGTTGGCAAGGATGTCCAAATTCTATTTTATCATCTCAAAAAGGTATGCGTTGGAAATTCCAGGCTTAGGGGTCTATTCTGTAATAATTCCTTTATATTTTAACGGCCTTTAAAAATATTTTCTTCTTTACTTCTGTCATTATTTAAACGAATCTTTAAAATACATTAGAGGAATATCTTAAAGAAATCTGTTTAAATAATGACAGAAGTTAATTAACGAAAACGAAAATATTTTTAAAGGCTGCCAATATTTTACCGGCCGCTAAAATATAAAGAAATTGTTTCAGAATAGACCCCTTAGTTGACTAACTATCAAATAGAGATATAAATATTTTTTCTAATTTGAAAATATAAAGGAAACATTTTTCGCTGGGAGATTTTAAATTGCCAAATACCTTTTCTTCAGAGTAGTATGCTTTAAAATGCGTTAACAAGTTAGAATTGGTAAATAAATTGCATTATTCTGAGAAATTTATGCAAATTTCGCAAGAGTGGATATGTAATGATTTTTTGGATAAATAACCACATACATAGTTAAATGTATTTTGAGTGGTCACATTTAGATCGCTGTAGTCACATTCAGAAATCGTTACTGCCCCAACTGATTGTTTTGAAATATATTTAATTTTCATTAAGCGGAGAACTTGTTTTCCTAAAAGAAAAACGAATCCCGGGATTCCTTTCCAGTGTGTGCCCCACTTTCGCTAGTGCCCACGAGATGCCACTGATTATACCCCAGGTATTTAGTCAGCTAATTAAGGATAACCTAAAAATTAAAAACAATGTTTCTGCTTCGTCACAAATTTTAAAAACTAGAGTTAAAACTCTGGAACTTTTGTTAAACAATTTGTTCCGTACTTTTAAATTTTCCTGTACATTAATTTTTGGAAAAATATTATCAGAAATGCTTATTACAATACAAAAAAACTACAGATATTTTTTTTAACCTTTTACAAATATACCATTACGTTCTGTATGAGATAAATAGTATTTTGTTTCATTTGTAGAAGTTTTCGTTAATAGTATCACGAGTTTTGGAAATTTAACAAACTGTTCTATTATATTTATAGAATTTTTTGTTATATTTAAAGAAGAGCATGTTTAGATTACAAAATGTTTCGCAAATATTTTCTTATTTTTACAGATATTTTGTTTCAACTACAGATTGTTCTATAAAAATACTAAAAATTACATAAATATCTACCACATATACAGAAAATTTCAATACCTCTATATAAATGTTGTATAAGGGTTACAGAATATGTTATCAGGCTATAGAAGTATATGTCTATATTACGAAGGAATTTTATTCTTGTTATTATACTAAATTATGACATTACAACTAATGTCTGTATTTTATACGTAATATTTTTTAATGACACGAAGAGAAACGAATTTTAATATTCCCAGAAACCTCTGTTGGCGCCATAGTGAAAGAAATGTCTGTATTATTTGATGTATTTATATAACATTTACCTAAATTTTTCTTTCTGTGAAGTTGTCTTACCTCTATAATATGGAAACTCTTTTTTGTACATACGATATATTGCATCATGAGTTTTAATAGCTAGGTAAATACATTGGTATTGATCTTTACCACTGCTGGATATACCAGGTGCGGCGATACCAAGGCCATATTCTAGTCTACAGAACATATGAGGCTCGTTAATTGAAACCCACTTTCCAACTTCTGGAAACGTTTTAATAACAAATCTGGCATATTCCACCACAACATCTGTAATTGCTGGGTTGGTCCAGTGAATACCGTCATCCATTAATTTTTGTGGAAGATCCCAGTGGTAGATTGTTCCGAAAGGAATCATGTCATATTTTAGAATCTGTTTAAGAAGATTTTTGTAGTATTGGACTCCTTGTTGGTTAATAGTGGTGTTGTAACCATTTGGGAAAATTCTGAAAACCACAAAATATTTGTTCGTTGCGTAATATGTAAAATAAATGACATAACAATATACAAAATAAAAAAAAATGTTTCATCATCTAGTTGCAATGGGAGAATAAAAACAAATAATGCAATTTAATAACAAATGGATCCACGACCAAAAAAGCGTAGGACAAAATTGTGCAGTACAAAATAACGCAAAGACAAAATGACCCAAAGACAAAATAGCGCAGGATAAAATAACCCAGGACATAGAAACCCGTTGACAAAATATCTCAGTATTCTAATTAAAATTTAAAAAAAAACAGAGTTGCTTCGAAAAAAAAATTAATAATATAAGAAAAATAATTTTTTTTATAAATTTAATGAATATAATGAATTTGCCTAACTTACGGTGCAGCTTGAAGCCCTTTACAGCAAACTGCTATGGTTCCAGGCCGCACAGGTTAGTTAAATTATTTAAGTTAGGTTTTTAATTTTAATTAGAATACTGGATATTTTGTCACACGCTTATTTGTTACTCTCTTCTTTTTTGTAATAAATTCTTTATTTAGCTATGCTAATACAAAAATAGTTCAGTTTTTGCAACAAGTATAGTTTATACAGTATGTATAGTGTCTAAATGTGAATAGAAAAAAAAAACAAATAAATTAGTGTCTAACTATGAAAAAAAATATATATATATATACATGCAATCAGACATTACTAAGCCCAAAACGTTACATATGAAATGTTATATGAAGCCCACTAGTCACTTACTAAGCCCGATTTCGGGCTTCCTAAAAATACAGCGTATAAATTCGTTTTATAGGCAAGTAACTCCATCTGTATCATTTAAGCAAAAAATGGTGGGCAAATATACGCGTGTAGTTCAGTTGTTTCAGCGGCAGGGGGCACAAAAGTCAAACGCGATTATATACAGATCGTGTTAAACAAACCACCATTATGAAGCCCATCATATCCGGCAACACTGTAGTCTCGGGAATAATGAATTATTTACCCATTTCAGATTTATTTTAACGTTTAACACATTCGCTGCGTCATCAGATGTGCGTGTTACGGTGCGTCGATTTTTTCACTTAAGTAATTTTTACATAAATTTATTTAGTTGTTAGAAGGAGGTATTCATGAAAGTACCTAAAATATTTATTATAGGAAAACGTATAATACTTTATTTCATTAGGATCACCAAAAATCTAAATAACAAGTATTAAAAGTAATTTTAAAAAACAGACTTCAAAATCATGCAAATGACATCACCACATCTTTACCAAATTTATATGGGACCACCCCTGAGGTACCCTTTTTCTAACAAAAAAGAATCATTGAAATCGGACAACGTGTTAACGAGTTATCGCTGAACATACATATAAAAAAATATTCCGACGAATTGAGAACCTCCTCCTTTTTTGAAGTCGATTAAAAATATATCTGATTAGGGTTCTATAAAAATTTATATTATTGGAGGGTGGGTTTTCCTACGGCATTTAAGCCTCACTAGACCTCCTGAATTAAGAGGCCCCTCTTAGTTCGTCAGAGAGCCTACAAATTTAATGTAGTTGACAACGTCGCCGAGAAGTGTTTATATCGGCCGGTGTTAGCCAATGCTCGCTGAAAACAAATCTTAAGATAACTGAGAGCCTTGGGTAAGGGTAGAGGGTGCTCACATTTTCTTGTTCGCATCTACTGCAGAGTTATGATTCTGAGAGTCCCATGCAATGGATGTGCTTCTGTGCTTGCCAATGTCTATGATCGGGCACATATTCTGTCCAGTCATAGTCAAGTATTTGTTTGCTTTTATGTTGTTGGGATAACTTTAAAGCATCCTGATTACTCTGCAGCTTCTTGTTGTTTCCTATCGTTCCCTGAATTTCACAAGGGAATGTTAGAGAGTTGAAGTGATGTTATGAACGTAAACGTATACGTGAAATTTGACATCTGCTCATGCGTATTAAAATATCCTTCACGTATACGTCTACGTACATACGTAAACTTACGGGCTCTGGCGTATACACGTAACGCAAACTCTTTTTAAAAAGAAGAAACCCGAATATAAATTCTCATTAATTGTCATTATTTGTCATGACACGTAAATGTCACGATGCGTTTAACAACTTCAACTCATATTTTGTACTGCAACGTAAACATTATTTACGTTAACGTACTGGAAATACTTCAACTCTTAAATATAAAGGAATTGTTACAGAATCGACCCCATTATCTGTTAAATTATTAAAACTCATAACTCTAGTTAGTTGCTAAATCTCTATGATTTCCGAAGAGCGCGTCCGAAAATTTTCTTGGTGATTTACTTTAACAAATTTTAGGTTATTATTTATTTATTTTATTTTATTTCTAAATACACTGCTCTACAGGCTAAATGCCTAGTTATAGAGCAGGAAAAAAATTGTAATTGCAAAAGTAAAAATGTAAATATAACATATTGCACAATAAGACATAACTTGGATATAACATAAATTACACAACGTAACAAAAATTACACAACGTAACAAAAATTACACAATATAACAAAAATTACAAAATATGACAAAAATTAAATAAATTAATGACTAAACACAAACAAATAGCTTTAAAATTTTTTGAGCTGCGAAAGCTTACAAGAAAATAAATCAATTCTACCTTGCAGGTTGTTGCAGTTTTCACACATAAAATACAACGGCGAGTTTTTTAATAAATTTGTCCGAGATAGCGGGAGATAAAACATTAAGTTGTTCCGAGATTCAATTCTTGGCACTTTAAATACAAGTTGTTCTAATAACTCGGAACAATCAATTTGGTAGTTAATAAAATTATAAAGGAATATCAACGACTGATTTTTTCGTCTACATTCTAAGCTTTGCATTTGAAATCTATTTAAAAGTAACGTGTGATTTATCCCAATTGGTGGATATTTTCCGTCTATCTTAAATGTCAAGAATTTTAGATATCGTCTTTGAACGTTTTCAAGCGCGCTTATGTGAATATCATAAAATGGTTTCCATATTATTGAAGCATATTCTAATTTTGATTTGACGAACGCATTGTACAACATATTCATGGTTTCGATAGAATTGAGGCCAACTGCATGCCTAATGATAAATCCCAAATTTCTGAATGATGCTTTTACCACGTCATTTAGATGTTCATTAAAAGTAAGTTTTCTATCGAACTTGTCCCCAAGATCTATAACAAAATCAGGTCTATTTATTATAACACCATCCAAACAGTAGTTATAGAGAATTGGAAAATCTTTTTTGGTATATGACACTATATTACATTTTTGAATTTAATGGAAAATTATTTATTAAACACCAATTATTTATTTTATTAATATTATTTTGTAATTTAAGACAATCATTTAAGATATCTACCTGATAAAAAAATTTGACATCGTCTGCATAAATTAAATATTTTACGTTAACGTCATTAATGATGTCATTTACGAATAGTATAAATAAAAGCGGTCCCAGAATCGAGCCTTGAGATATGCCAGAGGTTACTAAGATATCGACAGACTCAAATCCACGCACTTCAACAAACTGGGTTCTGTTTGTCAAGTAAGATTGAAAAAAATGTATGACTGGCTTGGACAATCCAAACTTGCTAAGCTTTTGAAGTAATATTTTATGATCGAGTTTGTCGAAAGCTTTAGAAAAATCTGTATATATTACGTCTAGTTGACCGCCGCCTTCAACTATTTAGAACTGTATTGTTTAAATGAGAATAGATTTGTTATTATTGACCTATTCTTACAAAAACCATGTTGTTCGTCCACATTCTGATGTTTGACGTGTGGTATTATATTATCGTATAGTAAAATTTGAAAAACTTTGGCAAAATTACAATAATAGTGATGGGTCGATAGTTCTCAATACAATTTTTTTACCTTTTTTAAAAACAGGACAGATTCTTGACCTCTTCCATGCATTAGGAAATGTACCAGTACGCAGTGACAAATTATGAAAAAAGCACTAACTTGACTCACTATAATTTGACCAGGCGTTAATGTTATCACTTTATTTATATAAGGCGCTAACTTGTATTTGCCTCTGCCCAAATTTTTGGCAGCAAATTTCTCCCGCGCGAAATTGGAAAATGGATCGGATCCTGAGATATAAGAAAGAGATGGAGCTATACTTTATTCGCTGCATAGGCATCGTCGAAATAGTATTTAGTAGGCATTATTTCAATGAATTAGATTAATTAAATATCTTGTTCGTTATGTGATATTTTGTCCGTGCGGTATTTTGGCGTTGCGTTATTTTATTCTAGCGCTATTTTTTCCGGCTCTATTTGATCTGCACTATTTTGCCCTGCGCCATTTTGTTCTGTAACGTAATAAGGGACATATGTATGTATGTATGTATTATCTGCTGCAACATGAATGATTTGCGAATTTTGCGACTCCTGTATATGTGTGATTCAACAAATTAATGATTTTAACAAATAATAAGTATATACTTTTCTCTTACCTTGACCAAGAAAAAGAAAATCTGTACATTTTCACACCAAGATTATGAGCATTAGCAACATCTTCTTTATATTTGTGATAGGTGTCACAAGTAATATCTGCATTATTGCCATCTGTTATAGGCGACGGGACTCTGTGTGTAAAATTATCCCAAATACTAGGACCTTTTCCATCTTCGTTCCATGCTCCTTCTACTTGATGTGCCGATGTTGCTACTCCAAATTGAAAGTCCTTCGGAAATATTTCTATTTTTTTATGTAATGCTGGACTCCTATCATCTCCCGTCACTGTTCCTGCTCTAAAACAAGTTTGAAATTAATGATTATTAATAAAAATGTTAGTTGATTACAGCAATTTATTATAATTTAATGGCACCGCCATGAAATAGCACAAGCTAATATAGCGTGGGACCCATTAGCGCAAAAGAATGTACCGTCCAAGTGTTTCGCGTAATATTCCTGCAATGATAATACCCTTTTCAGTGTCCCTCAGTGGGGAACTCTTAGAGGGGAGAAACCTGCAGGAGGAAGTCTTCACAATAAGTGTAGGCACCTAGCGTTAATAATAATATACCTATTATATTAAACTAAGTGTGATTTTCGCCGAATGACCAACCTGAAAAACTAATTTTTTTTTTCTGCCAGTTTGGATTTTTTTTTTTTTTTTGATTTATTATTGGTTTATTGGTAATCTTAAGTATTTTACATTTTCTAGGACATTTTATTTTCCTATTTCCCTGCTATAGGAGTTATCCTCCTTTTCAGGGTGGTCTGCCCTGATTACAAAGTAACCTAGCTAGCTAATTTCCTAATAGTTGTGCGCGTGTGTGGGACCTGTGTGGCAGGTTGTGTTCCCCAAGAATATCGCCAATTTTGCTATTTCCAACCCCATATATGGACAAGTCCAAGTATGAGGTGGGGAATATGATTTAGGAAAACCACAAAACCTAAACCACGATATTGTACATAGTTTTGAGATTTTCTAATTAAGTAATTGGGAAGGGTTTATCTTATGCTCAGTGGGGCTGATTCCAGCAGATAGATTAGGCTGTGGCATTTTTCTTTTCGGTTTTCGAAAGAGAGGGAGTTGGTTGGGGCGCCATGGGGTTCGGAGTGTGTCTAGGGAGTGAGTGTTTGTGCCTTTCAGCGTGCGAGAGACGTACTGTTTCCTGAGGGTCTGGAAACGTGTGAGGATGGGGGTGTTAGGGGTGTTTTGGTAGACTTCTCCGCTGGGGGAGCGATAGGGGAGGTACTGTCAGCGTCTGAGAATACGTCTCTCGAGTGTGGTGAATTTGTGTGACAGGTGTGTGGGAAGTACTCCATAGGGTATAGCTCTGTATTCGGCAACGGGTCGGATGAAGGAGTTATAAGTGAAAGTGGCCAGTTTGGACGATTACTTCTCCTTTTATATCTCGGCGGTGGCAAAGGATACCCTCTTCTCGCTTATTGAAGTGGAAGGGAACGCTCGACTCGCTGGGTCACCGCTTGCAGGTATGTTTGGGAAACCAGTGGCGTAGCTTTAGTGACGGTAATTTATTATCGTTACAGACTAATAATTCCGTGAAAGCTTGACATAAAGCCTTCCAGAGGATAATTGATTGTCACAAGCCATATGTTAATCGGTTAATTCAGCAGCTTAAAAAAAAAACAAAATGCTGGGGAAATATACGTGGCTAAATACAGAACTAGAATTAGACATAAGAAGCGACCAGGAAATAAATATGGTAAAATTAAGAGTAGATTAAAAGTTATGGTAGCTGAATATACATTCATCAATGTAGAAAAGCATCTTATGCATGCAGCCCATAATCTAAGTTTATTATTTTGAATTAAAAAGCGCTGTTTGTCGCTATTTACTGCTAATTTGTCTCTTCTTCTTCAGCTATTTTGTTATGAAAGTATTTTGTCCTGCTCTATTTTGTACCAGCCCTGTTTTTTCTAATGCTATTTTGACTCTGCGCTATTTAGTCCTACTCCATTTCACCCGGTGCTATATTGGTCCTCCACTATTTAGTGGCGGTGCCAATTTATTATAATTTAAAGTAGGCATGACGGCAAAGACGCAGATACGGGTCATGTTGTTATAAATAAATGCCTTTGAATTAAATTCAAAATGTCATGTAAGAGAGTTTACTTTGGATCACTTCTAATGATACATAATGTGTATAATTTACCGTGTGTTATGTTTACCGTGGTTTTTGTTACCGTTAGTTTTGTTTACCGTGTGGTTTTTTACTGTTTATGCATAATGAACTATTTCGTCTGCAGGTCATGTGTTTCTCTCTGCCTTATTGGTCGTAGATTAAAAACTGTAACAGTCGAAGAGACGTTATTTTCTGCCACGATTACCAAATTGTCTGTTTAATTAACCGAATAACTTTACTATTTCTACGACGGCTGTTTTTATTTTAACCTCTGATCGCACAGTATATATGAAGGCCAGGCATACAGCAGGTGGATGGCGTGCGTAGAAGGCGACTGCGCCTCTCCCCTTCCACACACTAAATTTGTTTGTGTTTTTAGTTTTGCTTGTGCAGAACCGTTCCAGACACGTGTAGTAGACTAAAAGTGTTCGTGTTTTCTAGAACTAAGTTCTGAACAAAGAGTCCTTCCTATCTTTGAGTTTTTTTTTTTTTAGAACGTTTCTAATCTGTTTTAAAGAGTTCTGTGTGATTCTAGCCAAAAGTGCGAACTGACAAAAATCGTTCTAGTTACACATGCGCATTGTACCATTACAAAAATAATAATGAGTGAAAGGCTAGAGGTTAGGTATATTATATTGTGAATTTCCTTGAATATGGAATTATAGGAATTTGACTGAGAAAATTAATTTTGTTTATAGTTTATCTTTTCCTTTAAACTAAGAAGAACATATTAACGGTGATTGACCTTCAAAAACCATAACCAAAACATACCAACTTTATTTAAAGTACAGTTATAAAAGAGAAAACTCCGTGTTTGTTGTTAGTTATTTTTTTAATGCTAAATAATAATTATTTTACCTCACAATTTTAACAAAATCAATTGACAGTTGATTATTTAGGTGTTCGTGTTAATGTCTAATCCAAAACTGTTCGGAAGAATTTCAAATTTGTCCCACTGAGCAACTAGTTCTGCGCAATTTTAGAACAGTTCTGTTTTGAATAACACGAACAAACCTACTCTCTCACTGCCGAGAACAACATGTTATTTCTTGTTGAGCTGCAGTCACGTAAACATAGGTGACTGTATTGATTCTCCCGTCAAGTGTGAATTGCGAAGTGTTTTTCATTTCTTGCAGGCAGAGGAAATAGTTTAAGAGCAATCCAGTCCCTTCTGACGTCACACTGCACGGATCTCACGACCTCCCCTTAAAGTATTTGGAACATTGTTCGCTACGTAAACTTGGCAATGTTGTGTGTAGGGTCCGATTACAAATTACATGAACACAGGTGTGTCATCAATTGGCGAAGTAATTCGTTGGCTATCGCCGCCTACTGGGGGTTTAGTGGCTTGTTAATATTATAGGAATGTGGGAATACTATTTTTAAACCAAACAACCCAAATATTTTTTATTTATTGATAGTTATAGAAATTAGACGGTCATATTTTAACAGCGTAATCTACATCCTAAAATAGTAGTAAAAGTTCATATAAATATAGGTCCGAAAACTTTTTTTTTCCGAGATACAGGGTGTTAAAGGTGAAGTCCTGATACCACACTTTTGTAAATATTTTCTAAACGTTTAAAGATAATTAGGTAAAATTTGTTACAAATACTTACCTTTTTACGCTTCATTTTTTTGATCATCTTCTTAGGTGGGTAAATTAGGGGGAGCTTAGGGTAAAATTGCCGTGTGTGTCTGTGTGTCGGTATCCACCATAACTCATCAACCGATACACAGAAAAACACTAAATTTTAAACTTAAACTTTATTTCAGCGTTCAATAAAATGGTTAGATTTTGAGCAGAGTCGGAACATCTGGGAGGTACTTTATGGGTGGTCATTTTTATATTATATTGAATATATCTGTTATTTACGTTTGTAGGAGAAAATTCTTCAAATTAAACTTACTTCTAATATTATTATCTATAATTTTTGTGTCATACAATTTTTTTCGAAAATGGTCCGTATTCGAGAAATTTGACAAAATGTAAAAAAAAATATTTTTTATAAAAATTATTTAAATAAAAATTGTTTGAAATATAATTCTCTATAATTTTTATTCCATACATAATTTCTCTAAAATGGACCGTATTCGAGATATTTGAGAAAATGTGTAAATTTTGAATTTTGAAGAAAACTCAAAAACGGATAAAGAAAAAACATTAAATTTTAAACTTAAGTTTTATTTCGGCCTGACGTGAAATGATTAGATTTTGGACAAATTCGGAACATCTGGGGGGGTACTTTATGGGAGGCCGTTTTTATATTTTATTGAATATATCTGTTATTTATGTTTGGAGAAGAAAATTGTTCAAATAAAAGTTACTTCTAATATTATTATCTATAATTTTTCTGTCATGTCAAAATTTCCTGAAATGGTCCGTATTCGAGAAATTTGATAAAATGTGCAAAATTCTGATTTTTATGAAAATTGTTGAACTAAAAGTTGTTTGCGATATCGATCTCTATAATTTTTTTTATACATGATATTTCTAAAATGGACCGTAATGGAAAAATTGTAGGAAAATTGCTAAATTTAAATTTTTCAGTATTTTCGTTTTCAATAAATAACTATAAAAAAATGTTTCGAGGTAGATGTATGTGCAAAATGTATATATTTAGTTTATCCTCTAAACATTTATAGAGGTGCTGCAATAGGTTGTATAGAAAAAGCCTATAATAACGATTACAGAATTTCAAGTTTCTAGCTTTACTGAAATTTTAGAAAAAAAATAAAAACTCAATTTTAGTCACGACCTTTTAAGGGTGATATCTCGAAAAGGGGTGGGCTGAGGAAATTTTTTTATAGAATCTTAATTTCATCTTAATTTCATAAGAGCAATCAGCTCCTGAATTTGGTCGCATGTATTTAGAAACACATTACACATTTTACATCTTTTTCCTAATTGGCACATGTCGTATTTCTCTAGGATTTACTAACTCTGGCAACAAACAAATAAAATAGAAATTTGTCAGCTGTGCATTTTTCCCTTCCAGAATTTTTCATTTCATAAATTAACTAAAAACTAAATTAAACAAAAACCTAACAACGCCTCAACAACAAACTAAGAAGATTACAATAATTTCGCACCTCTTCAAAAACAACTACCTATATTTCGACACAGGAATTAACAAATTTAACTAAACAGCAGCTACCCTTTTAACCACGGGCTTCATAGACTAGTAGCGTTGCCATATTCACTGGTATCATTGTTTTAGTAGTATCGGAATGAAAACTATGTTAATCTTCGGTCCTGTTTAAAATTGGTAATCTTTTTGAAAAAAAGTTATTTAGAAAATAGTTAAGATATTTGTTATAGAATGACGCTAAAGAGCCAAAAAATTAAATTTGTTAAAAAGTTGAAATTTTTGTTGTTTTTCTTTAAAAATATAAGTTTTTCGCGATTTAGCGTTATTCTTGGTTCATTTTTAGAACGATTGGCCTGAACCATTTTTTTTTTAAATTTTTTTAACTGCCTCAAATGTAAAATTGATTTTTAGCGGAGGAGCGCCTGTCATGTTTGCTCTTAACGAAAATTCATCGAATAACCAGAAAAAGCCTGTAATAACTAGATAGGAAAATCATGTGTTGGACACATCAGATTTTTAAATATGTTATCACGTTTAATTTAGCTAGATGTCAAATAATTCGAATAATAGTTTATTTTCAAGATGATCAAATAAATTTTAATGAATATAATTGTATTGTATTCTTACAGACACTGAAAATTTAAAAAAAATATATTTGTTATTAAAATTTTATAATTAATAATTTTCAAACTTTTGTGGTATTTTTTAATAAATTCAATAAACAAAAAAGTATTTAATACTTCAAAATGCCATAACTTTTTTTATGAAACACTGTGTATTTTTATCATTACTTGAAAGCCATTCTTTATTAGGTTTTAGATGGTATAGATGATGTACATGACTAATCTAAGTAAATAATTGTGAGATAGTTTGTAACAATGCAGCAATGCACAGAAACAATTTAATTGATTGTTTACTAGACCTTATTTAACAGTTTAAGTAATTTTGTGTTCTACTTAAATGGAAATCATTATCTAAATAGATATTAAGTTTCATTTGTGCATTTAGATAGTGGCAGTAATATGTAACTGATTGTACAAATTTTTTTTACGCGAAACCGGTGCGTCTTACGAACAAAAGTCAAAAGATTAAATTTGTTCCAAATTAAATGTAGATTTTAAAAGTAGTTTTTTTTATTTTTTTAAAAACCAGTGGCATACCATTTTTTTCTTCAATAATATTTAGTTTAAATACGGTAGGGACGCCACTGATAAAAATAAAAAAAGTTAATAGCATCAAACAATGTCGCTTTATTGTAAAACAACGTGTACCAAATTTCATTAAATTATCTTTAGTGGTATAAAAGATATGATAAAAAAACGATTTTTTTCCTGTATCTTGAAAACCGTTTATTTCCGGACACATGTTTATATGAACTTTTTACCTTAAAATTACTCAAAGTTTGTCAAAGTACTTATGAATCACCCTGTATAGGCGTCAGTTCATAGTCAATAAAATATTTTCCGTAAGTTAAGTGACACCAAATTGCTTCATTTTCACCGCTGAAGCTTAGAGCTTTGGCGCTTCTTCGAGAGGGAGGTACTTTCACACATGACATCGATACAACCAAAGCCGCTTTGTCGGAATTTTGCAATCACACTACCGGTGATTTTGTGGATATTTTTACGCAATGGACATAATATATACTCAAGTGTCATAATATAAAATTGTGGAATAACTGACGTATGGGGTTTTTGCAAAACACTCCTCAATTATTAATATTAAAGTATTATACTTAATTAAAAACTTTAAATATAAATATAATAATTTTAAAATTGAAACAATTTTAACTTCTTTGATTATAGATTCAAGTGAATTACATTTTTTAATATCAAGGTTGTGTATGAAAAATAACGAATTAACTGAAGGTAAGTAGACAATATTAAAGAATATAATAAGGCTTATCGAAAAATAAAAAAGGTCACCGTCATCCTGCTGAATATTTTTTTGTGTCGGCGACGGTCCTTTGCGGACTTTGAAGGGACATGAATTTTTGTTTTGGACGTCCTTTTGACGGCCAAAAGTATAATCCAGTTTAAACGAAAAGTCGGTATTTTCCCCCCTGAGACTTAAATAAGCTCTTTTATATTGTGTATTGTATTCAGTTGAATTTTGTAAAAGGCTCTTTTCCACCGATGATTAAGCAGACTAAACAGGAACGCAGTGGACACAAATCAAACGCAAACCGCTGAAGAATAATAGAAAGAAGCTAAAAGAAATCTAAACAAAATGAACAACCTAAAATAGTTATTTTTAAAAGTTTAGAAAATATTTACAAAAATGTGTCATCAGGACTTCACTTTTAACACCCTGTATCTTAGAAATGAAACACTTTCCTGCCTATGGTTACATAAACTTTTACTCTTATTTTAGGATGTAGATTACGCTGTTAAAACATTACTGTCCAATTTCGAGAAACCCTGTACAGAGAAATAATCACCGACAACATTATGACACTGGGAGGTGGGTTGGCTCAGTGGTTAGAGTCATGACTTTGAGATCGGAAGGTCTCAAGTTCGAATCCCACTAAATTTTTTAATCGTATAAGAATTTACTTACAAAAATATAACGAATAGGCACTCGGCCGTTTTGATTAGTTGAGCCATGTTTTAAATAAACACTTAGTCCAATTTTAAATTTCCATATCTTGCTGCTGAACATGCACTAGACAAGTACTATTATTATTTAAAGGAAAAATGAATAATTTGTTATTTTTGTTTTTGTAACAGTTCCATTAACCGAGTTATAGTTATCAGTGAACGGTTATCGGTTATCGTTATTAAAAAAGATAATTTGAAATTAAAAATAGTTGTTAATTGCCATTTATTGGTTTTTTAGTGGCTCTTTCAAAAATAACAGGATAAAACGCGGACTAAACAATAAATTTTAAAAACATATTTGTTTAAATTATCTCGTTATTTATTACCATTTTTTTAATTACTCCAATAAAATTTTAACTGTATTTTAATTTTCGCGATTTTTAAATTAATTGTTGAGGTTTGCAGTTGCAAAAGGTTTTTGTATGACTTTATTTAAGATTAAAAACTTTACAAAATTAAAATTACAATATTCAATCTACAACTAAAGACAAAAATAGATGAACAGGATCTTCAGGCCAATACCTCGACAAGTCCCAAAGTTCTATAAAACTATTCAAACTTAAATCGAAAAAGAAGTTTTATCAAACTATCTGCAAAAATTTCAATATGTTAGTACTGTTATTTATTTTCTGATCAAGAATAATGCAATCCTTGTTAAATGGGCCTTGTTCAGATGTTAGATATGCTGTTTTATAAATTACATTGTAATAGTTAGTCACTATACAAGTTATTCTAAATAATCAGTTTGTTAAAAAAGCCAAAGAATTTTAAAATTAAACCATTTATAATTAAAATTTTAAAATGTGTATGTCATTGAGAATAGACCAATTAACTTGTGTCAAAGTTTTGTTTGTTATACAGAACCACACATCTTAGTGACACTTGAAAATTGACACCATCTAGACCTAACCTAACATTCGTTGTTGGTGTGTTTACTTTTTTCTCGATTCTCAATTTATTTCTTGTGTATTGGATAATTGATTTAATTTTATTAATAAAATGAGTTTGTCAGCTGGATTTTAGTTCAAATTATTCAATATTATCAAACAAAATAATTAAATAGGTTAAATACATTAAAAATAGTGTTGGTTAATTGTTAAAATCCTAATTATTCACTCTTGAAAAGACTTTGTTTTACTCAATTTTTAATCTAATCACTGGTAAATACTAATGTCAAGTAGCCATCTTGGAGAACCATCTCGGTAAACTGACCTTGGCGTAACAATCCTTCCTTACTACTTTTTAGTATAAGGTAAAAAGCAGAGATGTGGTAAAATATTTAAGTTTTACTGCATAGAGGTAAAATAGGAAAAAAACGCAATCACGTGGTCGAAAGTGTTACCACGTCGTCCATTTTACAAAACTTCCTTCACTTGTGACAGTTTGTATTTTAATATATTATAAACGTTTATATATACTATTCTTTTCAAAAACATTTATTGAACAATGGCGTCATATGCCAAGAGCAATTACACAAGTAAGAATGGTGTGGATAACAAGAGTGATATTAAAATAAAATGTTGATACAGTTTTTAGAATGAAATTAAATATCGCTCACACTAATAAGTAAATATTAGGAACTGTATTCCAAAATAGCATACATAATGAATATAGTTTTATTAATGTATTGCAAATTTCCACGGTATCCAAAAAAACGTAAGAAATTTTGTAAATAGAAGTTCTTGGGTACCTACGAAATATAGTATATTATATTCCAAACACTTTCTTTAACAATACTTTGATTTAAGTTCTAAATATTATTTTCGTCTAAAAGTAGAGAATATTCCTACTATTTAATATAACACAGTTAAAAAAGTAATTATGTATCTAATTATTTATTGTATATTTATCTAAGAATTTGCAATTATATTATTATAATAATCTATACTCATAAATACAATATACAAATTAAAAGAATAATTAAAAACAAGACCATATAATTTTGAATTTTTATTGGTATTATATTTACCCTTCTTATAATGCTTTTAGCAAAACTTTAACATTTAGTACTTATGATTTTATTTTAGAATTTCATATTTAATTTTTTTTCATTAATTGCTATAAGTACATATTTATGAAGAGAATATACCTAAATAAATTTAAAATATCAAACTTAATACTGGTTACAATAAAATATATTTTTTCTGGATCCAGTTTAATTTTTGTTAATTGTACAGGGTGAGGTACATAGATTAGGTGTTTTTAAAAAGGCTAGTATTTTGCTTTTAATTAATTAGAGACCTTCGAACAGGCGGTTCATCTATAAAACTGCCGGGAATTCTACGTAATGTACGATTTTGCAAAGCATAGGCTGTTTGTTTGCTGATATTTATAGAGTGGATTAACCTCAACTATTACATTTTGCAGAGCAACAAATGGAAAAAAATTAAAACATAACGCCCATTTATACCTCAACGGTCTAGTCACCAAGCAGGAATTGTAGGTATTGTATTGCTGAAAACCTATAATATGCAAATACGTAATGTTTAAGTTTCCACTAGGAAATGATGATAACTGACAGTGAAATAATATAAACCAAGCAATAACCCTCTAATCGCTAGGTACTAGCCTTTCCAAAAATGTACTATTAATGTGGTCCACCCTGTACAAAAGTGATTTTTTTATTTTTATCTTTGATTTTATTCTAATAGAAATCAATACCAGACCTATGGTGGGTTGAAGAGATTAATTTATGTAACCGAAATATCACTGTGAATATAAGTAGGTACCAAAAATATTAACAGGCTCTCGATCTATTATAATTAACACGAATTTTAAATACCAATAATGTGTAAAAATAAATACCAGTATTTTAATTGAATTGTAAAAAATGCTAAAAAATCTACAAATTAATTCTCGTGGAATAAAAAGAAATAGAATTAGAATAGAACGAAAGAAAATCCAGATGCTCAGTTTCATTTCATTTCATTATAAAGCTACAGACACATTGGTTAGTGCACTCTTGCATCATTATTTTTCTTCTTATAAAAAATTTAAAAATTCTTGAGGAAAAATTGAATTAAATCTAGACGTGAGCATAAATATATAATTAATAAGAGAGGCGGTGTTGAAATACTCTTTATTTTTAGATTAATTAGGTAAAATATTAATTTCTTTAAATAATAAAGTAGATAAATAGGGGAGACTGGGGTAGGTTGTAATATTTTTATGATTTTGATTTTTTTTTCAGTTATTTTTTATATTTCAAAATTTCCACTGTTGATATTTTATTGTGTTAACAATTGTTAAAGTTTGCTGATATCTTGTTTTTAAATATATTTGAAACTCTTTGGTTGGTTCAAGAAATTATAAAGCGTTGCATTTGTTACAATGTACCCCATTCATGTGTCTAGGAGTTCTCTACTTTTACAATTTCTATATCGTGAGAAGTGCTGGATAAAATACTTTACCGTTTTTTATTGCTAAAAGCATGCGGTAATCGCATCAAATACAGTTTAAAAGCTCGTAGTAACAATGGTACGATTTAACCTCTCAGTTAATCCATTTGTTTTGTCAATTCTAGTAATACATCTTTCTATTTCAAAACCACCCGAATTTAAAAATATTTTTGCAAATTCTTACAGGAATATTATCTTCCATTGTAAAATTTAAACTTTTTATACTTTTTGTGTCAACTGTAACTGTAACGGCATAGAATCAGAAAGAACGCCCCAGTAACACTTGGTAGGGAACCTATTAAAACTAACCAAAGACATAGGACTATTCCAAAGATAGTACCTGGATATGGGAAAAGCAGGGGAATACAATAGACCCGGGAAGCCGCAGTGTTCTGGGCCAAACCTATCCCTACCTGCTTACAACCGATAAAGATACTTTTTGTAAACTGTCTCTCTATTTTCTTTATTTTTTAATTTTTTTTTTCTTTGTAGCTTTATTTTTTAGGAAATATATCTTTATATATCATAAGTATTCAGCTATAAAAGAAATATAATACGGTTTACCACCCAGCGATTAAAAAAATTTGTCTAAATATATCTCAATGTTTGTGCAACTGGTACCTGGTCAATATCTTTATAGTAATATTAGATTTCTCACATGCTAAACAATCAATCACGATTGATTCTTTTGGCAGAACATCTACGTCTTTAATTTTTTTGAATTATTGGATAATAGTATCCCAAAAGTCGATGACTGGCAAAATAACTTACATTTAGAAATTCTGGAGCAACTTATTGACCTATAAGTCCATTAGCAAGTAATAAAAATAATTTTTTCAATTTATAAAAAATTGTTTATTACCGTCAAATGTGACAAATATAAGAAATAAGTTAGTGAACTACATATAAGACAGGAATAAAGCAAAGTAGATATTAAAAAGACATTTCCATTTTTTTAATGTTATATTTTTTTTTGTAATGATAGAATTTAGTAGCGGGATCTGCTTGAATGTCGTCTCCAAAAAGGTTTGCCCTTCTTGTTCCATTGGACTGGACCTGGCCATTTTCTTGTTGGCTTATCGCATTTCAATTTTCTCGTTCTGGTTAATTTCTTAAAAAATTCTACAGACTTCTTTGGTATTCTCGTTCTATTAGGATCCTTGAAATCGACATAGTACAATCCAAAACGAGATCTAAAACACGAAATCAGAAGTGAGTTTTCTCAATATTCCAGAGCGGAACAATAATCAATTTACGGTATGAGGAAATTCTAGAGCAAATATTTTGGGGACTTCTAAAGGATCATATTCAGTCCATAGTGCAACTGAACATCTTACTAGGTCATGAGTAACACACAAAAAGAATCTGTTATAATTATAAATAAACTGGAATAGGATACATTAATATAAAAAATGGAGGGATAATTTTATTGGATTGGTTTGTGGCAGAAGGGCCGTCAGACATAATTTGTAATTGGCTGTAGGTATAAGGTAAAACAAATCATCAAACAAGTACATTACATACACTTTACCAAGGAGTTTGGCAGGTGTTTCGAATAATCTCTGTGGCAAAACAACGCCGGACAAAACAAAAGAGCACCGCGATAAAACAGCAACATTACAAAATAAAGCGGGACAAAACAGCGTCGAAAAATTGTGCCAGGACAAAAAAACGCCG